CAGCATCTGCAGTTCCTACTATCTCATCACTGATTAGAATATAGATTAGTCAACAATGTAAATATCTCAAATTACAACATAACAGGATGGTATTGTCACTAGACTATTGATCCAGAGACCCAGGTAATGGTCTGGGGAATGTGTTCAAATTAAATTGAAATCAAAAGAAAATCTGGAATTAAGGGTCTACTAATGACCATGAAACTGTTGCTGATTGTCAGGGGAAAAACCCATCTGGTTCACTAATGTCCTTTGGGGAAGGAAATTACCACCCTTACCTGGTCTGGCCTACATGTGACTCCAGACCCACAGCAATGTGTTGCCTGTCAATTTCCCTCTGGGCACTTACGGATGGGCAATAGATGCAGCCTACCCAGTGATGCCCACAATCATATAAATGATTTTTTTCAAAAACTCATAAATATGCGCAAGATAAAAGCACTTTTCTGCAGCAGCGTGAACTCACCTGCTAGGCTGAACAGGACTTGGGTTCGATGTGGGCTCAGGACTGGGTTCTTGACTCTGGGTTAGCGAGGCCGCATCCGTTCACAGCAGATCCATCTAGAATGGCCGCAGAATGAAGACTACAATCAATCTCACGATGCAATTTACGGCCAAACTGAAACTACAGCCCATCCCCGCTGTTCCATGGGTGTCTCCACTTCCCCCTTGAAGAAGCCTCTTTCTGTTGCAGGAAGACCATTGTAGATTTCCGCCTGTCTCTCTAACACCACCCCCCACCGCCGGGCTGTCCCCTCCCAGGTAGGTTTGGGGGATGTTTCTGGTCAAACTTCTGCCAAAGTAGTCAAGGCATCAAATTCCCACCTGCTGCGCTGCTTGTGTGTCAGTCCCCTCGCATCCAAAACAGAGACAAACGTAAACGCAACTGGAAATGTAACAATCGAAAGTGAAACTCCTTGAGATTCAATGCCCGCTCTCAGCTCAAACTGATTCTGAATGCACCTCCCCCCCAAACCCCCAACAACTCAACATGGGAATTTACAGCACACCCCGACCCCTGGGCTCACTCAATCCACTGCCATTCTCTAAAGGTTGGCTCTCTTTTAATTCCCAAATCCAAAAAAAAAATCACAGATAGTAAGAACTGCAGATGTTGGGAGTCAGAGACAACACAGTGTGGGGCTGGAGGAACACTGCAAGCCAGGCAGCATCAGAGGAGCAGGAATGTTTGATGTTTCGGCTCGGGAATAAGCATGCCATCCAACTCCCTGGCATCGCAAGCACAGGGCACTGAGACCCAACCCAGCCCTGGAAGGGTCACCGGACCCGAAACGTTAACTCTGTTTTTTCCTTCACTGATGCTGCCAGAACTGCTGAGCTTCTCAACAATTTTGTTTTTGTTCAGCCCTGTTACCTTGGGAGTCTTGAGTAAGTTAAAATTAGACTCCTGGGAGGAACACGAGAGAGAAAAAATGATTTTTGTTATTTAATTTTTTTGAACAGTTGAATTATAAAGATATTAGCACATGGGTGGAATGAAGGCTATAACTGGCTGAGACTGCAGGTGGGAGGCCATGTTTTATTGATGGGATATGGGCATCACTGGCACAGCCAGCAACTGTTAGAGTACCACATTCTAATGGGTCTGGAGTCACGTGAAGACCAGGCTGGATAAGGATAGTAGATGTCCCTTCCAAAAGGATAGGGGTTTTACAATAATCAATGGTAGTTTCATAGTCACCATTACTAATCCTAATTTTGTTCATTAAACCCCAGTCCGCAGACCATTAGCCTTGGCACCAATGTTACCAGGCCAGTAACATTGCCCACCATGTCACTGCCTCTGCACGACTACACCTCTCAGCATTATATCCAATCAGGATTTGCAATTATAATTGAGAAGTGGGGAAAATATTGAAACCAAAAGGAAGACGATTTGGCTTAACACTGGGGTGGGGAACCCAATAATGACAGGATAATGGGGAGGGTGGACCAGGAAAACCAGCTGATAACAGAGGCCGAATAGACAGATGTATATGATCTGGCACCACGGAGGGTCAAGGCAAGGAGCTGAGCTGTCACAAGAGTACAGTACAGTATGGGTAGAACTCTGCATGGTTAACAGTTGATAGACAGATAATATATTCTAGTCGATAAGGGCAGGCTCATTCACTACTAACAACCACCTTACATTATTCTGAGGAATTTTCCTTTATTCTGAGGTGTTTTTCTTCTTGTCCATCTATCTATTCCTGGAGTCTCCTGCCATATCCCTCATGCTCTTTTTCCACTGCCATTAGCATGCCAGGGCTTACCATTGACCTTAACCTGAAGTAGCCATAAACATACTGCAGCCAAAAGAGCAGGTCAGAGGCCAGGAATTTTGCAGAAAATAATTCACCTTATACCTCCCCAGTGTCTGTTCACCATCCACAAGGCAAAAGTTGGGAATATTCTTCATTTGCCTAGAAGAGTGTGGCTCCAACAAAAGCAGCTTGTCACTATTTAAGACAAAGCAGCTTATTTAACACTCCATCTAATATCTTAAACATTTACTTCCTCTACAACTGACACACAGTGATATTAGTGTGTACCATCTATAAGATGCACTGTAGTAATTCACCAAGTTTCCTTCAATTACACCCTCTAAATCATGATATCTGTTTCACAATATAATGATTCCTAAGAGCTTAATGTTTCTGTTACATTGGGTCCACCCATTCTATATTCTGTGTCCCACACAGTCTATGGGTGGAGAAAGTAAGTATTACTCTAGCTTTACAAGGGAGGATATGTATTTGTACCAGCTCCCTAAGATCCTAGCCATTATACCCAACCAAATGTTGTCATATTTATTGATGTCAGTCAATTAAACATCTTGTTCTTTTAGGACAGTGCCTCTTCTATAGATATTCTACAGTGGTGCATCCTCCACCATCAGTCATGAGATAGGCCTAAGACAAAAGAAATTGGTGGCATCAACTAATGGATGACAAATATCATAAGGTACCAGCAGTGATCACCTGGGGATATATCACACCCTCTACTACCTAGAAGGACAAGAGCGCAGCAGCCATATAGCAACACCAGCACTTGCAAATTTCCCTCTAAGTCACACACCATCCTGACTTGGGACAATATATCATTGTTTCTTCATTGTCATTGATCCTGGAAGAAATCCTGGACTCCCTTCTGAACTGCACTGTGAGTTACCCTCCATGCGATAAACTGCAGTGGTTCAAGAAGGCAGCTCACCTCCACCATCATCTGAAAGGTGTTTGGACTGAATGACAGCCCATCTGAAAGATACAGCTTAATAAACGTTTCCAATCTTAGAACGATATTTCAAATGATGCTTTCTCCCTAATATTGTCTCAGGATTCTAAGGAGTTCCTAGAGCAGATTCTTTCCCTCTCTCTTTGTGGGGAGTGTGGGGGAGCAGGGGGAAGGTGACAGGATAAGGATAGGGAGACACCCATCATCTTCCTGCCAACACAGAAGTTAATTTTTACAAGTGAAAACTCTCCTGTCCCACCTCTAACTGAGATTGTTAAGTGGCTAATTAGGAATGACGTAAGGACCTCTACATGACAGCCCCACAATTAACTCCATTCCCAGTAAGTGAGGATGGTCTTATGGAGAACATTGGCATCCTGGCTAATTGGTAAAACAGTAAGGCCTACCAGCTGGATGAAACATAGAAACATAGAAGATAGAAGCAGGAGTAGGCCGTTTGACCCCTCAAGCTTGCTCTGCCATTCAATATGATCATAGCTGTTTATTTAGGCCAATACCCTATCCTATCCCCATATCCTAATCTCATCAGCCACAAGAGCCATATCTACCTCCTTCGTGAAAACACAATGTTTTGGCCTCAGCCATTCTCTGGGTGAATAAATTTCTCATCTCAATCCTAAAATGTTTACTCCTCATCCTTAAACTATGACCCCTGGTTCTGGACTCCTCATCATCGGGAACATCCTTCCTGTATCTAACCCATCTAGTCCTGTTAGAATTAGAGTCATAGAGCACAGAAACAGACCCTCAGTACAACACACCCGTGCCAACCAGACATTCCAATCTAACCTAGTCCCATTTGCCCATATTTGGCCCATATCCCTCTAAACCGTTCCTATTCATGTACTCATCCTGATGCTTTTTAAATGTTGTAATTGTACCCACCTCCACTGCTTCCTCTGACATCTCATTCCATACACACACCACCCTCTGCATGAAAAAGTTACTCCTCAAGTCCCTTTAAATCTTTCCCCTCTCACCTTAAACCTCTAGTTTTGGACTCCCCCACTCTAGGAAAAAGACCTTGGCTACTCACCCTATCCATGCCCCTCATGATTTTATAAACCTCTATAAGGTCACTGCTGATCCTTTGACACTCTGGTGAAAATAGCCCCAGCCTATTCAGCCCCTCCCTATAACTCAAACCCACAATCCCAGCTAAATCCTTGTAAATCTTTTTTGCACCCTCTCAAGTTTGACAATGTCCTTCAATGAGATATTGTATCATGATTCTCTTTACCAACTTACAAGTGACTACATCACTTCCGCTAATGTAGCTGACCGCTTCCACCAACAATGCTGCCAATGTCACCAACAGCATGCCTCTGCCAAAGCTGCTGACAGTGCTGCTTCTGCCACCGATGCAACTATGTCACTTCCACTAACGCCACTGACTTCTTCTGCCTTCGCTGCATTTTCTCCCATCATGGAGCATTCCAATCCCAGACATCCCAGAGTCTTCAAGGACTGCAACTTACTTCTTCCAGCATTTCACAATGCCCATTACCGCATCTCTTGCAATTCCCACACTTCTGCCCTCAAACCCCCTCCCCCCAACAACAATAAGGACAGAGTCCCCCGGTCCTCACATATCACCCCACCGACCTCCGCGTCCACCACATCATCATCTGCCACTTTCACCACCTACAATCCAACCCCACCACCAAAGATATATTTCTCTCCCCACCCCTATCTGCCTTTCGTAGGGACCGCTCTCTCGGCAACTCCCTCGTCCACTCTACACTCCCCACTAACCCCACCACCCCTGGCACCGTTCCCTGCAACCACAGGAAGTGCTACACCTGTCCCTACATCTCCCCCTCTCACCTCCATTCAAGGCACAAAACAAACCTTTCATATACGACAGGGGGGTTCACCTGTTCATCCTCCAACTTGGTCTACTGCATCCGCTGCTCCCAATGTGGCCTTCTCTACATTGGTGAGACCAAGCGCAGACTTGGTGACCAATTCGCAAAGCATCTGCACTCTATACACTATAATCAACAACACCTTCCGGTTGCCAACCATTTTAACTCCCCCTCCCACTCTCTGGGTGACATGTCTTTCCTGGGCCTCCTCCAGTGTCGCAATGACGCCACCCACAAACTGGAGAAACAGCACCTCATATTTCACCTCAGGAGCTCACAGCCCAATGGCCTCACCATAGAATTTACCAGTTTCAAAATCTCCCCACCTCTGGCCTCATCCCATGTCCAACCCTCCCTCTCATCCCCACCTCCTTGACCTGACACAACCTGTCCATTTTCTTTCTCACCTATCTGTCCCACCCTTCCCATGACCTATCCCCACAACCCCCTACCTGCATTCACCATCACCATACCACCTACCTTCCCCCAGCTCCACCCGCCCCATTTACTTCCGAGCTCCCTTCCCCCTCCCCAATCCTGATGAAGGGTGTAAACCTGAAACATCGACTTTCCTGCTCCTCTGATGCTGCTTGACCTGCTGTGTTCCTCCAGCTCCGCACTATGTTGACACTGACAAGCGCACCATGTTCACTATACCACATTTCCATTCGTTCATTCATAAAACCGCATTAATCTAAATTAAGCATCCCTTCCAATGCATTACAGCTTCTTTGCACCTTTCAATTCTTAACAACCTCATGCTGTAAGCAGCATTTAGACC